TGAAATATTTGCCTTAATGAATGTGAATCCCTTCTGCCTTACCGGAATGTATGTCTGCTCTGTGAAGAACTGAAAATCAAGTACTCTACACATTTATGCTTTATATATGCTAAAACCTCAGTGCCCAGAAAGGATGTAACACTAAATCCTTGTTCTACTTTTATAATAACTGAACCTCTTTGAGGATACATGTTAGTGGACTATTTCTGAGTCAATCTTCTTGGAGAATGCAACTATCTAAATTGACCACAAGCTCTCTTACATCATTAAATACACCTCTGGCGAGTTGGACCCGACTCATAGCGACCCCTCTTTGGGTTTCTGAGGCAGTATCACTATGGAAATAGATTACCCAACCTTCCTTCTGAGGAGTGACTGGTGGGTTTGAACCTCCAGACTTCTGGTTAGCAGTCAAGTGCCTTAGGCACTATGCCATCAGACCTACCATTTAATGCCATGGGATATTAGTAATATTTGTGGGCATACTTGATGCTGAAAATTTAAATAAGTAAATAAACTACAATTTTACTTATTTTGACAGTACTACTGAGAATACCTATCTTCACATTTCTTGTTACGGTTCTAATAAAATGCTCTTTTATAAAACATCTAATTAAAAAAAACCCTAGTACATTAGCATAGTCTTGAAAAGATAACTCTTCCACCTGCAGCCTGTATGATCTGATGTCATTCATATTGGTTTTCAGATTTTAAAAAATACACACACATACACACACAAAAAAACTTACATAATGTTGAAAAAAAACACAGATTGTATTATATGTGGTTATAAACATTATTATTAAAATGTAGATAGAGAGATCAGGGTCAAATTTGTTGTTGCTACATGCCATTGAGTAGGGTTTATATTATAGTGACTGTATGCTGAGACCTGCACAATCCTCACAATCCTTGCTAGGTTTAAGCTCATTATTACAGCCTCTGTGTCAATCTGTCTCATTGACAGTCTTCCCCTTTTTCATTGATTCTCTGCTTTACCAAGCATGGTATACTTCTCTAGGCACTGGTCCCTTATGATAACTTGCCCAAAGTAAGAGAGACAAAGTCTGGCCAATCTCACAAATCTAGCTATTGTGAGACACTTATGATCGAAAGAATGTAGGTTGCAAAATTCACCTTAAGCTTCTGCTAAAGTAATAATGATTATTGGAAATCATAAAGATTCCCTTTGAACACCTGCCTTCATCATTTTGTAGACAATGGGCAAACAATGCTAATTATTATTGTTATTATTTGATCCTCTTTTCTCTTGTTGCCTCGTGTAGTAAAGGTCGTGTGTCAACATGGCTGGGACTGGTTCTGAATGGCTGGGCAGCTGGATGTAAGTATTCCCATGATGAGACTGTAATCCCCTCCACAGTGGAATGTGCTGTGAGCAGGTCTGTAGCTAACTTTGGAGTATGGCCTGCTTCCAGTATGTAAGGAGGGCTTTTTGGTATGTTTGGATGCTGAGTTTGGCTGAAACTCCATCTCCAGTTCCTGGTCTTGAAGCGGTGACCTGCTGTGTTGTCTACTGGCCTTGGGATTGTTCTTGGACTTGAACCTGGAGCCTGCCATGCTGTTTATTGACCTTGGGAGTGTGGTTTCTTATCTCTTGACCTCAGGTTTTTCCGCCTCAGCAGCTGCATAAGTTACAAGAAGCCTCCAGCTCCAGTGGGCCTTGAATAAGAGGCAGAGCTGCAGCCCAGAGTTGAGAGGCCTTTACCCAGCCCTTAGAATTGGCAATCTGAATTTGGAATCCTAGCCTCAAGCTCTGGTGTTGTAGTGCCTAAGGCATTTTGACTTCTAACCAGAAGGCTGGCAGTTCATACCCACTAGCCACTCCTTGGAATGCAGGCTGGGCAATCTATTTCCTTCGTGATACTGCCTCAGACACCCAGGGAGGGGTTGCTATGATTCAGGATGGACTTGATGGCAGTGAGTTTGGTTTTTTGGTTAATGTCTATATAACAGGCTCTGGTGGCATTGTGATAAGGTACTTGACTGCTGACCATTCAAACCCACCAGCTGCTCTGCAGAAGGAAGACAAGGCAATCTACTTCTGTAAAAACTTACAGCCTCAGAAACCCAAAAGAGGGTCACTATGAATCAGAATTGACTTGATAGAAGTGAGTTTTTTGCTTTTAGTATCTATATAATATCATTGCTACTTGGTATGTTTTATCTATGTAGATTTATTTATTCATTTAAATTTGTTTTTATAAGAAGATACCTAAATCTTCTATAGGTGCTCTGGTAGCATAGTGCCTAAGGCACTTGACTGCTAACCAGAAGGCTGGAGGTTCAAACCCACCAGTCACTCCTTGGAAGGAAGGTTGGGCAATCTACTTCCGTAGTGATACAGCCTCAGAAACCCAGGGAAGGATTCCTATGAGTCGGGTCTGACTCGATGGCACATAACAGCAACATCAACAACAAATCTTCTATGAAGAAAGACAGTATATTAATTAATTAATTAATTGTACATAATTATCTTGGATCGGTGTAAAATATACCCTCTTTCTCTTTGCGCCAGAAAAGATATATGTATTTGTTCTTCTTGAGGCCAAATATATGCCATTCATGAAATGTCCATTGGCTATAAATAAAGCTAGTTTTACCTTAATTACGTCACCAAATGTTTTCTGTTTTCTTTTGTTTATTCTGTTTTTCGCACACATGGTCAGTTGAACTGCTCGCAGGGCTATCAATATTATCAAAACATGCAACTTACTGTGAGAGAATGAAAAGAGTTCTGATAGTAATTGGGAATGACCAAGAATATATTTGGCAAAAGCTCAGAAGATGTGATTAATTATTTTCTCATACATTGCTGAAGCAATTAATTTTAACACTGTAATGCGATTTGCTGAATGACCTTAACCATGCACCAAACTTGTTGAGGACGTTTGTAATTTAAATTCTATACCTATAATTAGAAATCCAAAAGCCATGAATCGTTGTGGGTGCTTTACCTATCATTAGGACTCACTGCAGTGGCATCACTAGGGCTTGTGTCACCCAGTGCCCAAATCATACTGTCACACTACCCCCAATGGACCTCCTCCTGTGTGAGACAACATAAAATCCTTAAACGTCCCCCCCAAAAAAGCCATTGAGTCCATTCTGACTCATACACCTCTATAGGTTGGAGCAGAACTTCCCCATGAGTTTCCAAGCCTATAAATGTTTATGGAAGCAGGTTTAGTTATCTTTTCTCCTGCAAAGTGCTGGTGGGTCTGAACCACTAACCTTTCAGTTAGCAGCCTAATGCTTTTAACCACTATGCCACCAGAGCTTCATATAGAATCTTTAGTAAATGTTTACTATCGATTTTAATCGTATAATATGTGATAAATATAGTTGCAAATTGCTTAAATGTAATATTTCTCAGATACATGAATACTAACAACAATATTATTTTGGGAAATCTTTATATATTGAATTACAACATTATTAATTACACCATTTTTAGTAACACAGTAGAAGTCTTTTTGTTTGTTTTTTCTTCTTTTTCCTTCATTCTCAAAAGTTACTGATAGAGTTTCACAAATACTAATTACCATAGTATTGTACCAGAAACACCAGAAAATTTGAAAAAATGAGTGAGTATAAAAACACCAGCAGCAACAAAACCAAAATCTGCGTGTGCAGGTTAAAATATGTGATTCAGTGTCACTATAATTGGGTAATAATGATAGCACTGATCAGAGAGGCTTACAAAGTTTGAAATTAGCAGTGTTTTAGGCTTGTGGGTATATCGATACCTGAAAGCTTGCAGGAAATGTTTTGTTATTGTAACTAACTACAGGGATACTTTCACAAAATATAATGAATTTCCACTGAAGGACTACACAACAATTTTATGGACGGTCATTTTGGTATACTGTCTCTGATGATGTCACCGGATGTGGTCAGCACCCCCCTACATCTCCCTAGTGACACCGATGATTCACTGTACATTAATAGAAATTAAAACTGGAAATTCAGAATCAAAGTTTAAACCTTTTCTTGTGTAAGCATTTCGTTTTGTCTTTGTATTTTTTATTTCTGTCCACTTTCTTCCTCTCTGCTTTAATTTCAGGAGAATAGTGTTTAATGGATTAATATTTGCTTTGATTAGGTATCAGTAGAATACCATCACTGTATACTTTCCTTCATGTTGTACTTAAGCACTATGGATATTATATGTGTATGTAAAAACATGTCATAGTTTTCATACTTGTCTACTTTAGAATCAAAATCACAGTAGTATAGGTGCTCACTTTCTGTTAAAAATAAGCATTTTACTTCTCTGACTCAAATGTATTGTCATCAACTCAACAGCAATGGGTAATTGAAGGAGCTATCCTGCTTTGAATTTGTGCAATAATATTTAGCAAATGTCTAGTAAAAATTTAATAGACATGAGTCAAAGCTTAATCTAGAATACTTTTAATTCCATACTTGATTCAAATTTTGGTTAAACAATACAGTTCATTTTAGAGTCATATTTGGTTTAACAGTTTTTGTTTGTTAAATAGTTCTAGGAAACTTAATTTTAACTTTCTATAAATTTCTAAGTATGTATGTATATATCTGTCATCTATGTACCTATCTATTTATCATCTATCTATAGATCTATCAATCTATCTATCATCTGTTGCATCTTGAATTCTGTTGTATTGATACTAGTTAATTTCATCCATGTTTCCACCTTCACCTTTAATACTTGGTACACATTGATGTGGATAGCATTTGAAATATTTGTTCATAGCAATTTTATTTAACCCACTCTGTTTCCTACTAAAATTCTTGAGCAGGACTTATTGAACTGAAAAGTGAAGTCGTTACTCCTAATCTTAACCCTTGATTTGACAGCAGATTTCCTTTTTCTTTTGCACTATTATGTTGTAAATTTGATTTACTTCTTATAGACTCTATTATCAAGCCTAATAATCTCACTGTATACCTTAATTGTATAACCCCAACTTCGATGTACTTTGCTTGTGTCTTATCAGGTATCTTCCATCTGAAAGTTCCTGAATCTTCTCCTGTGGGCTCAGCTATTGGAAGGATAAGAGCTGTGGATCCTGATTTTGGAAGAAATGCCGAAATCGAATATAATATTGTGCCAGGCGATGGGGGAAATTTGTTTGATATCATCACAGATGAGGACACACAAGAAGGGGTCATCAAACTGAAAAAGGTACATAGACAAGCTTGTAGCAATTAACTGTGATTAAAGAAGATAAAAAGTGAAAGTTGAACATGAAAAATAGTTTCAATATTCCTTCTATTAGCAATATTAAAGAAAACTAGTTGCATTAACTAAGGAGGTATTTTCTTCTACAGACACATTTTTTTCTGTGAATCACCAGGTACAGATGTTAAGCTATTTTTTTTTTTTTTAATCTTACCAATGTTTAATGATAATTTAAAATTTTGATTATAAATGTAGAAAAACAATATAATGTGAAAATAACACCCAGGAATAAATTCCAACCACACTGATTCTGACATATTTACAATTTGTTGGGAATATTAATACACTTGAAGCACAGACTTGAAGGAACAAGACGTGATCCATAGAGTCTGGTGGGGGGTGTGCATTTCCAAAAAAAGAAGCAATGACAGCAAGATCTCAGAGAGGTAGTGTCTGGACAAGGTGGCCAGTGGGGTTGGAGTACAGTTAATGAAAGAGAGTGTGGGAAAGGTGAGGTCAAAAAAAGATCTGTCATGGAAACCCTGGGAGGTCACATCAGGGACTTTGGATTAGAAGGCCAATCATCAGTGCAGACACAAATGACCTTTTCAAGGCATTTCTATGGATGCTTTGAGGAGAATATTGACTAGGAGATAAGGACATAAATAGTACCAGTTAGAAGATTATAGAAAACATCTAAGAATAAACTGATGGTAATATGAAAGATGATACAGGTAGCAGCAAAAATTGTGAGACATGGTGAGAGTGGTCTAGATTTTAAGAAACAACCAACATTTATGTTTATAAATCTTTTGATTATCTGATAAATTGTAGCACCAAATAGAATACATGGATTTTGCTTCCAGTGCTATTATTTATTTCAGTCTTAAAATAAGAGTCCCATAGAGACAATTCCTACTTACACTCTCTTATTCTTTTGGAAGAGAAAATTGGAACTTGAAAATTATAGCAGTAAGAAATTTCAAAAGTAATTTAGGAAAACAGGTTTTTAGAACAAAATTTAAAATCTTTTAACTTATTGTATAAACTTTAGTATATGTGTATGTCTGTGTGTATGTACACACCACAGGTGAATATTTGACTTGACTAAACATGGCAGTAGCTTTCCATGCAAATAAAATAATGAGAAAATATTCATTTGAACAAACCCCTGAAAAAATTCTAAAATAATTAAAACAGTTGCAGTTCTTTAAATTTGGAGCATTTTTTTTAGATAAAGACACTACTATAAGTCTATTCATGCATATAATCAGAAAATTTGCACAACTTATTACCTTAAGTTTATCTTTAGGAGTATCAGAAGACTTAGGAGTATAATAATAAATATTTGTGTAAACAGAACAATTTTTCATCTCCATGATTATCTTAAAATTAGTCTTTAAATTTTCCCTTCAGAAATTCAGCATAGAATTGCAATGCAAGATATGTGATGTAAAATCAAATTCACATAGGAATTATGTTTTTAAATATAGAAAATCCCCAAATACATATTATATATTTGAATAAATAGCTGTTTCTTAAAACCTAAATTATTTCAATATTTTGCAAACAGTTTGAGATGCAGTGGAGATATGAAGCAAGATAGGCTTTGTTTTCATAGAGATTTTTTTTAAATCCCACTTAAAAATGTGTCAAATTGCTTCAAGTTCCCTGAAGTATATCCCCTTCCCCCCCCCCTTTTTTTTTTT